ATTTGCATGCCTATTGCTCTTTAAACAGACAATTGAATCTTCCATGTGAAGTGGATAATTGCAGCAACACAAAATTGCATACTGGCAAAAATATAAAACAGCACATGAGAGAAAGTGCTTTTAAAGTTGTTCTATAGACATAAATCAATTCATCGTCACTGTGGCAATGTCAGTAATTGTGTAACAGCTTTCTGATCCAGCTTAAAAATGTACCTGGCATCTTTAGCCACATGTCTACACAGCGCTTTGCTTCCTGATTTATTCCATTGGTAGAACTAACAGCCAGCTCCTGCTGCCCATGAGCTTTCTGTAAGATTTGCTTCTCCTGAGAAAGAGACAAAAAGAGATTAACAATAACAGAGCATCTTTTTGAAACTCGCCTTATATGACAAGATAGACAGGTTAGTGGAAACCGACAGACAGAGTTTAATGTTAGTTTGCTAAGTGACAGTATAATGTTGTATGGAGTGAATGCACTGCTGCTGTTCATCCTAGTATTGTAGGTTCCCACAGTTTTTATTTTCTATCCATTGTGCCCACAGGGTGACACTGTTGCTGCTACAACTGGCCTAACATCAGAATCAGAATCAACTTTATTTGCCAGGATTGTACATTGCTTACTTATACAATAATACAGTTCTAAAATCATTAAAAATAAGATAAAATAAAACCAAACACCAGCTACAGTATAGAGAACACAATACATACACACTATAAAAAGAAACAAAAACATCATAGACAGATTGAGACAATAATGCAATGAAGATTGCAAAGGAAGCAGGAGTAAATTATTATCATAATAGTAATTATTATTATGTACATGTTGGAGGTGGATGTGATCTACAGGTACACATACACATACCTGCATACATGTACACAGTGCGATGGAGAATAGTGCAAAGGATGCTGGAATAAATAACCTCAAATACCAATAGAACAACATTTCTACTTTGCAATTTTAGGCAATATTTACGGAGTGAGAGGAGGTTCGGAGCGAATATGCTATGCACTGCAATCAAAAGATTTTTTAAATGGGGCGCCAAATTTACCTGGGAGGCTGTTAATCTACCTGGGCGGCCGACCCAAGTATAGCCTATGTGTGGGAAACACTGTATGTATTGATAATATCGCACCACTCTTTATCTATTTCAGCAGTTGTCAGGTGATCACATTATTTTGATTCAAGGTGGATCAAAAGGCACGGTCTACCTTCATTGGTTGCCAGATGTTGCACTGGATAAATGTGAATGTTTGGATGGAAATTCTGGTACAATACTTTAATTTCAGTACTGATTACGTCAAATGTGTAAGTGGAAACTATAGACAAAGTGCGCATTTCCACCTTTTTTGCCTTTTAAAATACTTTTTTTACAAAGTGAAGCAATGAGCACAAGTTATTTTGCTTTTAAATGCAAGATGAAGAAACCAACTGAAGACATCTCCAAAAATGCAATACCCTGGTTACAGTTTAACAAGCTACCAACAACAGCAGCACACTTTATTTTGAAATAACCTTACCTTGAACGCTCTACATTTATCAGCCCTTTCCTTTTTCTCTAGAGCCACCTGGTGCGCTAGTCTGTCCAGGGTAGATGTAACACGCGCTTTATGGCAGCTGATTTTATCTTCAACCTTGAGGAGAATAACAAGACAACTATTACAGAAAACTGTACACTTATATTCAGTCTATATTCAGTGTTCCATTTAGCCACTCACTGTGCCTACCAGTGATGAACATCCCTCATCCTCACTCTCACTCAGCAGATCAATACAATCCAATACTGGTCTGAGAGAACCCTCCTGAAGCAAGACACAAAGACAGTGTCATTTAATGTTAAGAAACACAGCTACATTTTATAAGACTCAAGGACATCCACAAACCCTGCACAATGTAAAAATAATGTTTTATTATATTTAATTCATGCAAAAACATATTGTCATGGAAATAAAATATGCTATATTAATATAGAAATTCATACTGATCAGCAGGCTTATTAAGATGTTATGGCACAATTTGTTCAGGCAATTTTTTTTTAAATAGATAAAGGGTACACATGACTTACTGACACAAACTCCACTTCTTCCACCTCATCCTCCTCTGCTTGGATTGGAGAAGACATTTATCTGAAGAAAAACAAACAAATGTAACTTTTTGAAGTCCGATAGAGGCATGTGTTGCTAATGTTAAATCAGGTGAGGTTGCTCAAAAGACTTCTGTTAACATGTTTTTAAAACCATCTGTGGTATTTTATTATACTTAGCAAAAGTCGGTATGAGGCCTGACTAAAGTAACAAAAACACGACTTATTCTGGTGTAAAGCAGGTAAATCCTATTAAAAATCCAACATGGGGCCTCCTCGCGTAACATTACCCACCTGAGTGCTTTACCTTGGTGCTGCCACTTGCGGGTGAGAGCTAAATTGCAACAACGGGCTGTAACAAGCCTGTTGTTGCAATTTAGCTTTCGGCCACCACCAGCAGCGCGGTGCTGCTGAACAGCACTCTAACCGTTAAGCGAAGACGCAACTGTAATTTTAATGTGTTACTGAGTTTAACGTTAAAATCATAGATTAAAATGCATTTAGCTGCACTCCATCGATGCATCATATTTCACCATCTTCACACACGCACACACGACATAGACGTGCAGTTTCCTAGTCTGTTGCTGATAAGATGAGTTTGTGTTATCAACCATCGTCTGTTCAGCAACTTTATATGAGCAGCCAAATCTTGACGGCAATCCGTGACACTCCCAGACGTCCGGGTCCTGGGTAAAAAGCTAACGTTAGCTCTCGTTTGGGGCGTGACGTTTGCGGTTGTAACGGCTTTCCCCCGCTTCACTAACATAAAATAAACACGCCAAAGTTGGACTTGGGTTGGCGTTAATCGAATACGGTTGAAATCAATGGATGCATGGAGCTAAGTATCACATTACCTACTGCTTATTGTGCTGGCTCCTCAGTTGACAAGAGTGGTAGCTAGCAACAACATCGATCCTAAATCAAAGTAAACGCAGCTAGTCTGGTCTGCGACGTCACGGAACTGAAGCGCTCCTGTTCCACGTGGAGTGTGCCGTACGGGCGGGGTTACTGGTCGTTGAGACGGAGACAAACGCGAGAACAAACTCCGCCCGTGTGTTCTTATCTTGTCCGGGTCGAAGCGTGAAGCTGTCGCCAACTCCCACTCTATTCATAGTTTAGTTCTCCAACTCGGGTGAATAGCTACCTGATGCTCACCGTTCACTTGAGAAATTTGTTGTTATGTCCTCAGTCATAACATTGCTGAATCAGCTCATGAAAATTAATTGGCAGCAGAGGAGTGACCAGGGCTGTGCCGGGGGGCTCCCCAGCCCTGCTCTTCCTTGTGGAAGTAATAAAATGTAGCCTATTCATTAGAAAGTACATACATGAGCACCATAGATAACATGTGTTAACACTGACATACTGATCACGTAACATTATATTTACAGTTTACTGTATGTAACTTCTTTGCAACAAAAATGTGTGGCCATGCAGGAGTAATATGTATGTGCACATATGTTTTGATAATGTACGTGGACATACGTTTGTGTTGTAACTATAGCTATAGTAAAGCTTAGTTTATGTTGTAACTATGAGTAATGAGCAGAATCCAATCCAAGCTTGTTTTATTTTGTTTCATAATCTTTTTGTACTATGTGCTGAAACCATAGATTGTAATAGAAAGCTGAAACTCAACATAGGAGGAACAATTCAGAACACACATAAATGACCAGGAACAAACTAGGAGCCCTAAAAGAAGCAATGCTAAGCGAGCAGTCATACTGCAGCCTCATACAGGTGTCTAGCTGCTTGTGGAAAGGTGAGTACACAAATGATAATATGATTTATGCAAGCTCATAAGTTCACATTGCAATAAATGACAATGAAATGTGTACATTTGTTGCAAATAAGCACACATGTTGACATACTCAAAACTCACCACCACTCACCACTTGAGGGTAGAGGGTGTCCTACTGTACAGACCATAAAGCCCCTACTGGATATGTAAAGTACACCACACATATGCTAACATGTAAGCATATTTGGTTACTGCTTGTATGCAGTTGTAGCTTATAGGACCTAAAAATGCTATATAAGTCAACATATAAGAATAACCAAATACAACCATTCCAATACTTTTGATGTACTGTAGTCTATAGAAAATTTTTTTTTCCATCATGTAAAATATTTATTGACAATGTTTGGTATATAGATCATCATACCTTTGCACAAACAATAGCTTTTGCATATTGTGGAAACTCATGTTAACCAACCACATTTTGTCTGCATCTGGCCATTTTGTTTAGGTGCAGAATGGCCCTTTGCAAATTTGCAAAAAAAAAGAAAAAAAAATCTCCTCTCACACTGTGAAATCTTTCATTTGACTGAAGAAAAAAAACGCCCTAAATGATGTAACTTCATCCAAGAACGACATAACCCATGCTGGATTATGATTTGAGGTGGTTTCTATTTTTCTCTCCCATACTGTTGCGCATAGCATCTGCCTCTTTCCAGCCTCTGTCAGTGGGCCTACAACAAGGTGCATTTCACAGGGATGCTAAGCCTATACAGCAAAATAGCCTACAGTGAGAATAATATCTATAAATAATATATCAGACATACATCTTGTATTACCAATAATAATATATTGTATTAACATTGTAGGTGAGCATATGTCATTTGGGCAAATGCAAAACATGATCCCCATAAACTATCTCACTGGACTTCTGAGCTTCACAGACAAACATCTATATTAGTCTTATTCTTATTGTTATTACAGCATTATTTTTTTAGGGCAGCCGAGTCTGCAGCATATTACTGCGATGCTCAGATGAATCTGCTGACTCCCCCTGCCCCTGTGAAAAATAAATAAATAAAACGTGCGTCTCTGCTGAGTCATGCATTGTACCCCACAATAATGATAGCCTATCAATAGTCTCAGCTGTCTACTTTGAACATATAGGCTTTCCACGGTTTGCTCTGCGATAGTTCACGTGTGTCACTGTCCTTTTTTCTCATCTTGAGCTCTCAGCGATATAACGGCAGGAGAGGAGCCAGCTGTCCGAGGCTGCGGGATCTGTCCTACATCTCGTTTTATGATGATTGCCGCGGCGTTTTTGGTCCTGTTACGGCCCTACAGTATTCAGTGTGTGCTGCTATTGCTGTTGCTTTTGCTCGGGACTATAGCGACTATTTTATTTTTCTGCTGCTGGCATCGCAGGCTTCGTAATGGAAAACATCCAATAAAATCTGTGCTCTCCGGACGCAGCAAGAGCCGCGGTGAGTAGCGCAGGCCAGCCGCATCTCCTCATCCTGACAGCTCATGTCTGCACAGCGCATGTTGTGAATCCATAGTCTGTTTTATCTTTTATCTGTATATATGCGGCAAAATCAGTAGCCCACCCGTATCACCTGTGTTGGCTTTAATAGCCTAAGAGTGAAGACACTGAGATAGGGTGTTATCAGTGTGTAGCTTATATCTGGAATTAGTGTAACTCGGAATTAAACATATATATGTAGTTGATATATGACATGTCATACTTTGTGGTAAATGTTCATAATATCTCATTCCAACACATTTTATCTGCCCTGTAGTTGGCCTCCGAACACATCATTTTCGATCAGAGGTAGGATGAACTTTTTTCATTATGGGTTTGTGTCAGTCCTCTACTATCCAGCTGGCAGGGGAAATCAGGAGTTTAAAGTGTAAAAGCTTTATGTGCCTTGTGAGCTTCTCAAGTATAATGTGAGAAATGCTTCACCCAAAAGCCTCTTTCTTTGTACTTTTTACAGAACTGCATGACTATTTTAAGGACCATGATGTGCGCAATGCGCATGTGTGATCAATAAATAATGTCGGTGATGTTGCAGTGTCATTGTTTAAGGAGGGTTGAAACTCGTATTCTCAGAAACACAGATTAAAACTCAGGTGTAAATGAAAAGACTGAAACACTGTGTATTTTATGATGGGCTAAATAAGCCGTAGCCTATTTGCAATCACGTTATATGCCAAAATATCAAGTAGCTTTAGTCGATCTGTTTCCGTTTTACATACTTTGCTTTCAAAATAAAACTTTGAAATTTTAAAACCTGGAAGTAGCCTATATCAAAATTCATGGAAATAGCTTTAGACCACTACCACTGTACCACACCACCATCTTAAAATTATATTTTGGCAAAACCTGCTTTGGTGGACATAAGTCCAGTGTTTCAGTAATTGGCCTTCCTGGCATGGCCTATGGAAAGGATTTGTTTGTATTTAATTAAACCCAAAACTAAAAAGGGGTTGGTGAAATGTAATTGTAGCACATCTCAATAAACTTGTAGAAAACCATCATTCATTTAGAGTACCATATAGACCTGTCCATTTTATTGCTATAGTTTAAATTTACATTTACTGATGCCTAAAAACAAAGCTCTTAAGTTGCAAAAGCAAAAGCTTCAAAAACTTGCTTTCCTTTCAAGTTATGTTATTGAGCCATGGGACACCAAATCCCTACTGGTACAGTACTGTAGGGACTCAGTATTGTGTTCAAGGACACAACAGCAGGGGAGTTGCTGAGCTTTAATGTTAAAGATCAGTGTCCCTGATAATTACTTTCAAACATTCATGTGTTGTCCAAAGAAGTGTTAGAAGATGTTACAAAAAGCTTGCTTTTCCTTCTTCTGTAGTGGGAGTATCATCTTTCTCACAGTGCCTCCCTAGCTTAAGAAACCTGAATCACATCACAATTAAGCTATTATTGATATTATGATGAGAGCTTTTAGTTTGTCTTGCTAAGTCTGCTAAAAGTATAATCTGATTCCAGCTTGACAGTTGTTCCTGTTCCCCAGGGCTTCAGGCACAGTCCACGTCATGCAAGAAGGACCATACATACTCGAGTGACGGAGGAAAAGCCAAATCTGGTCGAGATTCCTGAGAGTGAACCTGATTCATCATCGAGTATAAGAAAACGCAAAGTGAAGAAGAGAGTGCTGCCAGAATTTTACCAGTCTGTACAAGTCACGCCCACACGCAAACCTGTAGGTACCCCCTTAACTGAAATCATGATTAATACTGATACTATCATTTGCTTGCTCCCCTCCACAGGGACATCAGTGTGCCTTTGAACCCGGTATGGATTCAGTAACTTGCTCAAGGACGCAGGGCAAGTGTTTGTCTGCAGGGTTTAAACCCTGCTCTCGAAGGATGGTCATTTATAGGTCTTATGGAAATATATATATATATTTTGTTATTGTGTTGTAACCTATATCCATGTGTGTATTGTTCAGTTATTGACAAATATGGATCATGAAAATTATGTGCACTTGTCATCATAACAATCTTTTCAAACATATGAAACCTGCAGGTTTAACACACAAAAAGAATTTGGGATCTTTAAGTAATTCCAAGGGACCTTTAAAGGGACATTCTCGGGATCCTAACTTAGCATGAATAATTTAACATGTCTCCAGTAGGAAATCTAATTTTACTTTAATTAATACAAGTTTTGTGTTCAAATAAATATTTGTTGTTACCAAATTAAACCATACATTTGGCTATTATAGTTATATGTTCAAATTGAGCCAAGTTGAGTTAGTGTTTTTACATTAGTGTGCAAATTCTAATGGTGTTGCAGCCCTGCATTTAAATTGATGTATTAATATATTACATTTACAGACCATAGAGCATTTAAAAAAATATTAATCTGTGCATCATTAACACTATTAGTATATAATTGTATTAGCTTTCTTGACTGATTTCCTGTTTGAATGATAATCCTCCATTTTAATAGATTCTTTGATATCTGTTAATATTGCCTTAGTTAGTAATAATCTTAGTTGGCATGCTGGTACGTGTCCTCTCTAATCCATTATAAGTCTGTTAATATTTTACCATGTTGGCATGGGAACATAATATGTATCCTTGTATGGATCAACAGCTCAGCTTTTTGTTAACTCACCAGAGTTTTAAGCCTTTGGCTTTTCATTTCTGATTCTTTGTGTTACCCTGTGAATTAGCTGTACTGCTTCCAAACATGAGTTTGCTCACCATCCTTCAATACTTTTATCCGTTTAAGATAGTGCAGTTAGTAAAGTAAGGTGAGGAGAGACAGTATAACAGCCAACCTATATATTGATCCATTTCTTCCTGGAAGGGAACGTAAGGAAAGCTCTAAATGGAACATAGAGCTCAAGAAACACGAGGTCTTGGCTGGAAATATGTATGTACTTATGGAAACATAGGGCATAACCCCACTGGGCCCCTTTGGTTTGTTGGGCTTTCTTTATGCATTGCTGCTCTAATCTGAGAATATATTTTCTTGTTCCAGAGAAAATCAAACCCACATCCACATAACTCTGTGTCTGCTTTTGAATGTAATTTATTGTAACCAGAATATTAATGATGCTACAGAGCCTTTATCTCTACAGCAAAGGACTATAGCTGCTGTATAAAATTCTAATTTATTGCAAGACTTGACATGACAATGTTTGAACTGACTGTGTTCAAAGGCTCCTATTGATCTATGTGACGTTGCAACACCATGCTTCCTTTAGTTGTGTTGCAATACTGTAGATAACAGACACAAACATTTTTGGGCTTTTTGTCATTTCCATTGTCAACAAAGAACATCATCAACTTCATCAGAGCCAGCTATCATAAAGAATTATGTCATTATGTTACAGTTGATTACCTCTAAATCAAATACTTTGTTTCCATGGGAAAAACTAAATGAACATTTGTTGTGCAGATGAAATGCTTAACCTGGCAGTGAGCAAAAGATAAACTATCTTGTGTTTTCCAATAATGTTATTCTAATTCACATGTTACTTGAACAACAACAACAATGACAATTTGGAGGCTTACAGAATAAGGAGAGGCCAAGATGTTCTTTAAGTGAGCAGACTTTAATATCTAATAGTCCTTCATAAACAAGGGCTGGCCTAGATCAGCCCACCATGAATCATTCATGATATGTTTGCATTTGTAGCCTGTGCAAAATGAATAATCCAGAATGTTTGCATTGTCCTGGTAAAACCATATTGTTGTGGGTTTTTAACCGATGATCTCTTCAAATTACCCTGACCAGTGTAAGAGAAGTACTGACGACTTCACATATGAGTGAACTCAGTGCCCACACATTTGATCGTAAATGGAATATTGTATAAATGCATGTAGCAAATAGGCAATTTAAAGTTTTTTATCAGGGCTTCGTCAAAAAAATTTTTTCACTGATATCTTTCCTGTTGCCACTGTATTTTCAAATGTTACAACAAAGATAGTCAAGGTAACAGTCGTGTCCTTATGTCCACTTTTTAACAGTAACAGGTCCTCAGCAAAGAATATTAGGTAACGTTGGACCTCTTCGCAAAAAATAGCAGAATTTGTACATTCCCTAATGGAGAGTATATACTTTGTAGTAAAAGAGCTATATGTAAGAATTTAGTTTTAAACATTCAAAAATAGTATCAATAGTATATAGTAGTAAATAGTATCAGAATGTGAAGAAATTAGTTATGACTTTATGTCTAAGACATCTATGAAATGTGTATCTACTGAAGTTAGCATGCTAACCAGCTAGCCTCTGCCCATCCTGGCTTGTAATATTGGTTTTCTTTCCGGGTTTGGCTCCTGGCACCACTAGGCTGACCCTGGCTTAACATCTTTATCCCCTCCCATTGTGTCTTTGTTGTCCTCAGAGTCAGGGTCCTGGTCAGAGCTGCTGTAAATCATCTCGGTACTGTATTTCCTGTCGTCAAACTGGCCTCTGTCAGTCTCAGTCCCGGTCTGGGCGTGTGTACTCGGAGGCTGCTAAGCCTGGTTCCCTTGACCGCTTGCCCAGTGTTCTAACAATATTTGCTACCTATCGGGATGTGCTATCTAGCAGTTCTGTGCATGCACATGGGTTAGGGATAAGGTTAGATGCTATGGATTTGCACTAAGGTAGCAATTTACAACTAAGCAGCATAAATCGTCAGAACAGCGGTTCTGTTGCCCATTCTGTCGCTGCTCCCTGCCAGCATTCCCTCCTGGGTCCCCCCCACCCCGGGCCTGGAAACCTCCTCCTTCTACCAGTTCAAAGCTCCTGTCCTAGCGGTGTAAACACCAACACTCCCCAGTGCGCCAAGCTCCCAGTGCAGACAGAGTCAGCAAGCAATATGGAGCACTAGCTGCACGGCTAAATGTTAGCAGCAGTTAATGCTTTATCTGGTGATATGCTGCTCCCTTTTTGTTTGGGGTATGAATTTGACCAGTGTCCAGTTCTTATTCATGTTGCACCTTTGAGGCAACATTTTGCTCATCATATGAAAGAAAGTGAAAAACTGAACAAACACATTCCTTTAGCATCCCAACTAATAATTATTTAATAATGCGCATTAACTTTCCTCGAATCATGTCGTTTTTTTCCTTTTTAGTGGTAGGAATTATGAATAAGCAGAAATTGCAACACTAAGCTGCCTTTTCAGCACTGACTTTTATCCTGATTAAAAGTGATGCAATGATGAAAAGGCTGCTAATATTAACAGCGTGTTGCTTTTATCAGCTCTGCAGACTGACACTGACCCAGCACTGCCAACAGATTCTCACTACTATTTAAAAATAGAAATGAGGTTCTGTACCCCTGTAGAAATACTGTCAGAAGCTTTCAACTACATTCGCCTGGTTTACATTTCATGCAGTAGTTCCAGGTTTACCTTCAATAAGTGGCCTTACTGCAGACTGTACTATAAAACTGAAGTGTTCAGCATCATAGCAGTCTGTCCAGTCATCATACAGGTATTTTTGCACCCCACCCCTCTCCTTTTCCATCAGGATGTATTTACCTTCAATTGTTCTGTTGCTCAATCTCAGGTGTGTCAGGGTGCCTCAGGAAATTGCAACAGAAAGTATTTTTTATCAATGAGAGATTGTGTTTTGTGTGTTTTATTGTATTTTTCTGGTTAAAAAGGCTTGGCAGGGTTTAAATACTTAAACCAAGTGCAATCCTTGTTTTGTGCTCTCCATCCTCTCAGTTAGCTCAACTTAGGCCTATATAAATACTTTCACTGTAACATATGTGGTTCACACCCAGTCCACAGTGTAGAATGTTGTGTCGCTGTGTCCTCTCAGCAGGTCACCTCTCTGTTGATCTAATGTGCATCTGTTGTGAAGTCCCTGCCACGAGACACTGTGGTAGCCCTTGTCCTCTTATTGCCCCCCGTTTTTGATGTATTTGTAGTCACCCAGCAGCTTTGTGCAGGGATGGCGCTCTAACACCACCGTCACTGTCGGGGCTGCTGTTGTTGGCTACCGGGTATGACGCGGAGACGCATGCAGTCTGCTCTCCCATCACGATCCAGCTCTGCCTCGACAGCACACAGCGTACCCATCCCTTCAGCCCTCTGGAGATCTGACATCACCTCGCATCCTTAATGCTCCGATAAGGTGACGAACTCGTGGCCGGAGCATCAGTCAAAGGGCGTGGCACCCTTTGATCCTGACGCACGAGATGTGTGACTGAAAGGAAGCTAATAACGGGCAAATAGGATTGTTTTTTTCTTCTTCTTCCAGCTGACAGGTCTCCATGTATACAGTGGTAAGTCTTACTGTTGACCTGGCGGGGGTGCCAGATACTATTGATTTCACATTGTTATTATTTGGCTCAATCTTTTATTGTTATGGATCATTACAAGCTGGTGGCTCGTGTCACGGAGCGTCCTCACACCTAACGTGTGCTCACATTACGCACTTTGACCCGCGATGGTGAGAAATAGAGTGCTTTGTGCGTATTGTTCCTGCCCTGTTCGATATAAAAATCGAGCCAAGCATTGCTCCTTTTCTTTACCCCCCGTTTTCTTTTGTCTCACAGAGCTCCAGTTCGGGGAACCCTTCCCTACACGGCTCCATGTCTTCCTCGGCGGATTTCTCGGACGAGGATGATTACAGTGTGAAATCTGGGTCGGCATCACCTGCACCCGGGGACACTTTACCGTGGAACCTGCCCAGACATGAGCGGTCCAAGAGGAAAATCCAGGGAGGATCCGTGCTGGATCCGGCGGAGAGAGCCGTGCTCAGGATCGCAGGTGAGGGGCAGTCTGATATGTAGCTACTGTAGCGAGAAAAACAATGATACACGGTGGGACTACCTGAGCTTGTAGCGACTTGTTAAGGTGCATTTTCCCCTGGTATCCTCACTGTTATCTGGGGTCCTAATCAGGGGCTGCAGTGACGTGGATGTGTGGTAGCCTATATGTGATGGTATTTTGGTTTGTTCTTATTCTGGATAAGATGCCTTTAAAAGACTCAGTTATTGGATATGAGGTGTAATTTTAAAAAGCTACTATTTATTATCTCTTTGAGCCATACTCTGTTGCTTTTCATCAAAGCTTTATCTTAAAGACCTTTAATGTATCATTATGTAATTTTTATATAGGCTGCATTATTGAGATACAGGGCTAAGCATATGGCAGCATGACGCGTCTTATGTGCCCAAAACGTTGATAATAGAAGTCAGGTTGGTATTCAGACAGAAGAAATAACATAAATGCTTCTGACATGGACTCTTGTTGGTTTAACACTTGATAACCTTACATAGGCCTACTTGATGGAAAAAAGTTTTATAGCACTTAATGTTTTATAATGATACTTTGACTCTATTTGACGTTGTAAAACCGTTGTCAGAAATGCAATATAGCAAATATGGTTATAGTGCCTGCTGTGGGCGATGTTTTCCCGTATTTTCACGGGAATCTGTGTGATATTTTTATTGACAGCTGATCTGGAATTTTTCTAGTGACGGCTGATAGGCTATTGACAGCAAAGACACAAACATGATTTCAAAAAGCAGTCGGTTATCTGACAAAGTAGACTAGTTTAAAGTCTCTGACATGTGGAAGACAGCGAAAGAGAAAGTGGTCCACGTTAGGAGCCGGTAGCCTACAGAGACGCCCGACAAGGGAAAGCGTTTATTATTACACACTGTAAAAAGTGAACATTTCATTCAGTCTGGTTTTGACCTTTTGACCGTTGATACTGAGTTAAACTTTGGGGTGATTTAGCTTCTTGTGTTAAGAAAATTACATTTCAAATTTATTCTAATTGCATATAAGAGTCAGTATTGGATCAATGGCCTGACACTTTTTGCAGCGCGGCGCGTCCGGCATTCCTTCCTATCAATCTGGTGAACGCTGGAGAGGAAGCGTCGCCTATTGGACAAACCGGCAGACAAGGGAGGGATGTAGGGCGTTTCCTTCAGTGCAACAACAGCGCCGATCACTCTTGAGTCCTCAGCACATACACATGCTCACAAACACACACATACATACTCACACACACACGCACACACACACACGCACGCTGTGTCCCTGTCCGCCGCTGGTGAATGTCCAGTTTGTGGAGTCCGGGTTATGGCTCAGTACGCAACGCAGGCTAATGTGCTCTCGGACGAACAGGAATACCTCCAAGCGTATGAGGATGTTTTGGAAAAATACAAAGGTAGGATCAATGCTGATTGGATGTTGTTTCGGCTTTGGGACGTTGAGGAAATTGCCCGATTGCTTGCTTGACAGTTCAATAAATGTCAACCTGCCCCCCCTCTCCTCTCTCTCTCTTGTGACTGGCTAGTCTTAGTGTCTTTATCCCTGCACTGGAAAAGTGGGAATATTTCCTGCATGACATCACATTTAGCCTGAATTTTAGTAGCCAAGACAAAGGCTTTATTATGTTTTTTTTTTTAAATGATCTCAGTTGATCATTAGATTAGAGGATTAGTTCTCTTGTTTAGCTGTTATATGGAAAAAGGTGGCTCATATATGTACGGAAAATACATTAGAAGCCAGGTGATCTTAGTGTCTAGGTGTTTATTGTGAAACAGAAAGGTCTAAACAAAGAAAGTATACTTTCACTATGTAAATTATATATTTGTATATTTTAGGGTTTTTCCCATAGGGAATACGAAATGTTGCTACCTATGTGGTGTCTCAAGGCAGAGAGCACAATGACATAGCAGGGTGAGGCGTTCGGTCATATCAGTAGCTCATGTCACTTCATGTAGCTGCTCCTTTTGGGTCTAGCTCATTAATTAGAGCGAATCCATCACACATAGGAGGTCTATGTTATTCAGTGTCTCTTTGACAGCTCGAGCTCATGACAAAATCATACACATGCACTCGGAGGCCAGGCCTGTGGGGATGATGTGGTGGAGCTTCAATTCAACCTGACAGCAGCAGGGTTTTCACTCCTGTGTTTCCTCTCCACACAAGAACCCAAAGTAAAACAATAAATGCTGGATACTGTGTGCTATTATATTGAAGGTTTTGCCGTGAGCATGTTCTCTCAGCTGCTGAGTATTGCAGCCAGCAGGGCCAGTCAGCTGTGGTATAAGGCTTAAACGCCCTGATTGGACTCTAATGGGATCATATGATGTAGCATCATTAGGAATCCGTAGCTGTTGTCTTCAGGCAGAGGAGCTGTGACACACAATGAGCTTACTTATGTTTCGTGTTTTCTTCTATCACTAACTACCACTCTGCGATTTGTTTTTGTTTTTGAATGTTATACACTGGTTTTTGGGGGATATTTGACTCCCCGCCGTTGTTGCATGAACGATGAACTTTTCAAAGAAGGGTAAGGAATTTTCTGGCATTAGCTTGACCATTTTACCTTCAAATTCCATAGTTTATGGTAGCATTGTAGCCTCATAATAATGTTACTATTACAAATGCGTTGTAGCCTCATAATAATGTTACTATTACAATATATAATGTTTCTTATATGTAAAACTGACCAAATTTAGTGTTGTTTTCTTTTCTTACCAATATTCTGCACATAAAAATGTTGCTAATGAGTGATCCTGGCAGGAACTTGAGATCAGCTGGTGGGCTAATCATAATTTCTAGCAAACTCACCTACAACCCTTTTTCAAAAAGCTTTGTTTCAGCAGTGTCTTTATGGCAGAAAAACACTTTCCAGCTTTGACACTTGAGCCACAAAGAATTCACCAATATTTATTAACAAAAGGTCAGTTAAGGGAAGAGGCAGCAGCCTGTAGTAATAAACATGATCAATTCATAATTTCTTTAAAAAGCTGTGGACTGCTTGTGTCTGAGAATGGAGTAGAGTGAGATGATGACAATTTTCACTGTAAGATTTACAAAAATAAATAACATTTCAATTTATGTGAGAAAGTTGGAGAAAGTTAGTTTGTAGAGGTTGTTTTTTTGTAGAAGTTATTGTATACAGCATAATAGTAAGCAGTATGTTTGAGTATACATGGTGGAGAAATGTAGCTTAACGTAAGAGTCAAATACCTTCTGCCTTTTTAAAAGAATTTGTCTCAATGTGTCTTCCCGGTCATGAAAAGGCACATTTTTTCCAAAAGGAGCTTAATGTTAGAAAAATCCCTGTTTTTTATCATTACTTTAGTTTTATTTACAGTTGACGGGATCACCCAGAGCCCCAAGCTTCTCTCCATGTGATGCGAATCAAATGGGGGCATTTTCATGACAAAATCAAGTAACCAAGCCTACAGCCAAACAGACCAGAGAACAGCCAGTGGGCCAGCTATAAAATCGAAAACAGAATTGTCTTTGTCTCACTAAATAAATGTAGGGTTGGATCATTTTTTTTATATTTAACCGTGGAAGCTTGACTTTATTCCAGAGTCATCTAACGCCTCTGAGTGAGTGCCGTCAGCTCCAGAGAAAAGATAAAAACTGGAGGGAAACGCTACATGCTTCATTGTAGTGAGTGAGTGCCATTGAAGCGATGTGACCTTTGGTGAACTCCAGCTGCTGCAAATAAATGGACAAATTGCAAGATCAAGGAAATGCTCCATGAAGGTCTGAACTGTGTTTGAAATAAATGTGAGTTTAGGGTTTTTGGCGACTAAGCATAACAATCACTACTCACTGGGAGCATGTGTGTAGTTGTTATTGCTCTAGCTGTAAGAACGCCACACTAATTAGGTATTAGAGTTAATAGTACTCTTGACAGTTCGTGCTGAAATTCAATGCAGGCTTCACAAAAAGCTGTGAACTTGAGCAGTGAGTTAAAAGCATGTTTTCTTAGGCACATACAACAGTTAATGGCACTGGGCAGTGGCTGTGTGGGATCATGCTGTTCTAGCAGAGCCTGCTCGGTAGGCCGTCAGCACGAAGGGGCCATTAGAGTTTCCCAACAGTTGATCATCCTCTGACATCAGGAAAGATTTAATGGATTAGACATTTGGTGGTTCAGTCAGCTCTTCTTGCAGTTCATTTTGTTTTTAAGATGCCATATGGTGTAAATATGGTGTATTTATAGGGCTGAACCAACTAAACATTATGTAGCTTATTGAGAATATTGAATGCCTAGCAGAAATTTTAAGACATATTATTATTATTATATTATTTTCAGGATTTTTAATCTGCTTCCTCATGCACACATTTAAAAGAAAAAAAAAGAAAATGGTGGCCAGATAAATTTTTCTCCACTGATTTTAAGCATTTAAAGAACTGTAATAAAGTTGATTTAATAGGGTACTAGCTAAAGCTAGTCACCCAAAGATCTATTTCTATTCAGTAACACTAACATCAATACATTCATGAGCTCATTTCCTGAGTGAAATATGATGAAAGGATGTGACAAATATGATCCTTTTGTCAGGATGCTGTTCAGTAGAGAGCTTCCTTGACAAAAATATGTGTTCAATCTTTCTGTGATTGTCAACTGATTCATAGACACATACAGCCTACTGACTGTTTGAGATTGTATTTCTTTAAGGAAAATCAACTGTCAGCCATAAGCAGCACAGAAAGAGTCTTTAGGATGCCGGTTAGAGGAGGGAGTGGTCTGTCAGTGTCTGTCTGTGAATCATTGCAGTCTGCATTATGACTTAATCTCTCATTACGAGAAGGATTCTTAAAGACATGTGAAGGGAACTTGTGATTATCAAAATCAGCCTTTTAAAACTTGCATTATCTTGCATTATCAACCACAGCTGTACGAGTGAGAGAGCATTGTGTTTTTTGCACAGTCACTGCCTTTGTCCATCCTCCTGGGCCTCGCCCAGCCCAACCCCTCTGCTGTATGTCGACAGCCCACT